AGAACCTCCAATGGTTCTGTTCTATCAGTGGAAACGTCCACCTGATGCTTTAAACCCAGTTTGGTTCTGATTCTTCTACCTGAAATGCTTCCAGTCCTCAATCATCAATACTGATCAATACAGAGTCACAGACTGGATCCAGTGTCTCTCTTCATCCACCAGAACCTTCACTGAGATCTTCTCTCTGCTCCAAAGTCTGATTGGATCAGGGATCAAAGACGGATCAATGAACTGATCAGACTGCTTCTTCAGCCAGCAGAGGAGTTTTATTAGTGGTTCTGGTCCCGATGTCCTCTGGTTGGTTCTGAGGTCGGTCTACTTCGTCCACAGCTGTTTGTAATAAGGAGACAGAGGCTGTTTAGACAGAAGACAAACAGAAGGAGACGGATGGACAGAGGAACAAACCTTTGACTTTAAGATGAACTATTGCCTTTCTCCTGATGTTCTGGTGGTGGACTCCACAATAGTACCTTCCACTGTCTTTCTTTGTGGGCTTAATCAGAGTCAGACTGAGGTCTCCAGTTTTCAGTAGGTCATCTTTCATCTTGGCTCTCCCTCTGTAGTCCTTGTCTCGTTCTTCTTCCTCATCTTTACCATTCTTATAGACATAGACCACGTTGTCTTTTTTGTCCCACCACCTCACCACAGTTTCTCCTGGCAGATCAGGCGTTGTCCTGAATGGCAGTGTGACAGAATCCGCCCCCTCCTTCACCACCACCTGATGCTCTGAGGGAACAACAAAGAGGAAGATTAGCTGTAGAGACAGCAGCAGATTTTCATCACTTCATTGAATGACTGTATATAAAGCTGAAGGCCAGAAGCAGAAAGATTTCAGACAATCACTTCTCACTCTGACCAAAGATCACTTGGTGTTTCAACACTGAGGATGGATCAGTGCTGCCTTATTGGTCCTTATTGATCTGATAAAACATCAGAGGACCCTGATGCTAACTGGGTTATCCTGCAGAACTAGACTACATCGTTAAATCAACAGGTTTTAAATTTCATAAACATTTTCTCTGCTATTTTTCTCATTTAGAAGATATATTGCCTAACAAAGCTTAAGCCAAATTAGTGGAGGAGTGACTTAAAAAGATCCTTGCTCTTATTTTTATTCAACTTCATTATTGTAATGCACTTTATGCTGGTGTTGGTCAAGCATCTGTTTCATTCCTTTCATTATTTGTGTTCTTTGTATTTGTTGCAAATGATAATAGAGATTTGTCATGTTATGAGCATTTAAACACAGCCAGTGTGACGAGTTTGCATTTATTAGCCAACTCATACATTAGTTTGTTTCTAACTCATACCTACCGCTATGGTTTTTTACATCTGCTGCAGTTATTTCCACATGCTTCACTCCTGTGGATCATATGGTGTTTACCTGAAATTAGTCTGCTTTACCGGAAATTCAACGCCTCTTTGTTAGTTCAGAGATCCACTAGGAGCGCCGTATGGGGGGAAAGTTAGGACGATTCTAAGGGCCTTAGACTGAGGGGGGGCGGGGGCAAAAGAAGAAGAAAAGATTTGTCCTGCTAAATTTTTCAAATACGAAAAGAAAATCCAGCAGTAAAATAAATCATCTTCTTCTGGGGCCTAAATGCCACTTGCATGTCATTTGATGTAGTTAGAACCAAAGAAACAAATAAACAAGAAAATGTGTAAATAAGCAGCAGTGTGGTAAAAACATCCGCGGCTGAAAAATGCAGGAAAAGGAAGGAGAAAGAGGAGAGAGGGAGAAGGTGTCTGATACCAGGACCCAGTTTTTCCTCTCTTGCTTTTTCCAGAGAAGTTTTTTACTGAATAGATTAAAATAACAATAGATTATTAACCTGTTGAGTAAAATAAGATCTGCTGGATACAACTACTCAGTTATTCTTCCTCAATATCAGAGGGGATACACATCATTAATGATGAGGCCCAGCTGGGTGCATCAGAGGCCAAACAACTAAGCCAGAAATCTCCCAGAGCTGAGAAATTAACTTTATAACCAGACCAGGAAACAGGAAAACACCATCAGAGGGTTAACATCAGCTAAACACTAGAAGCTGTTTAGCAGGATGTTTCCATTAAATAACTATTTTTGTCCTTTATCATGTAAACAGATGATCCACCAGCAGACCCATTTCTTTAAACACCCATGACCACCCCACCTCAGCCCCCCTCCCTTTCCCAGTGACAGGTGAGCAACATTGTGTTCTGGGACAGGCCAGTTTGCATCAGTCCAGCCTGTTGGAATTCCCCTCTTTTTACCCTTTTTATATATATTATATGCCAGGTTAGCAAATAACTGCTGATAACCTGACCAAAATCAGAGTTGTGCTTTCTAGTTCAGAAGTTCCAAACAAGTATCAGAAATGATAGAGTTCCTTAATGTGATGATGCTGCCTAGTTTTTAGCAATAATACCCTGTCAATAAAGCTCTGCTGCTTCCAAAACTGGCAAATTGCTTTTCAGAGGAGCCTGATCCTTGATAAACTGATTGGATGTTGGAAGCTTTAAGGTCGAGTTTCTCCCCTGAAAACATCTTAAATATAAGTTTTAGAGCTTTGAGAAACTATTAGTGGTTTAAAACCATTACATCAATGCACTTACTTTTAATTTACTGCTGCTGAAGGTGCAATGCATTGTGGGATAGCTCTCTGGACCAAGTCCACAAAATCCATCCTAGATTAAATTGGGCAAAACCAGAACACATCCAGGTGCTCTGAGGATACCTACCTTGATGTTTTCTTAGGTTTGGAAAGGAACTTGTACGGAGGGTAACGATGTTTTACAAATATTGAAGACAGACAAGGGTGTAAAATGAGAAACATCCTGGACCTAAAGCACTGACCTTTGACCTTTAGCTGAACTTGTTTCTTCATCAGGATGTTTCTCTCATTGCTGTAGACTCTGCAGGTGAAGATGTTACTGTCTTTATCTGTTGGGTATCTCAGAGTCAGACTGAGGTCTCCAGTTCTCAGCAGGTCTTCATTCATCTTGGTTCTTTTGCTGTAGAACTCATCCTGTTCTTCAGGAGGATCAGAAACTTTCTTATATACATGGACTGTATCATTTTCTCCATCCTTCCACTCCACTCTAGCATCTCCAGGCAGTAGTGGTCTGGTTCTGCAGGGCAGCAGGACAGACTCCTCCCCCTCCTCCACCTCCACCTGTGGGACTGAGAGACAAC